GGTAATATTGTGACTTTGAGAACTCTACTCCCGACCTGATGATGTCTTCACAGCTAATTGGCTTCTTGATGCTATGTGAAGTTTGTTTAGCAGGAGTGTGAGCTAAATTAGGGGAAGTTAACCGTCTGATGAACTATTGTTGCCCCATTGGCTGTCTTCATCATGTTTCACTTGTCCCTCGTTCAGTCGAGTTTCTGGGAATTTCTCGATATTGTTAAGTGATGGTGATAAGTATGACCTTATACGATTATTTCCAGGAGTGATGTTGGTGAAAACTACTTTTATTACTACTATTATTAATTCTACTACTATTACTACCACTACTACCAATACCACTACTAGTACCAACAACAACAATAATAATAATAATAATAAACGCCTATATCCATTTAATATACTGTGAATTGCTCTTCAAATCCTGTACACCAGAGTAATTAATATCTATTTTTAGCTGAGATCCTAGGATGAGCCTGTGTGTGTGTGTGTGTGTGTGTGTGGTCTAGTGTGGCAGCATTAAGTTAGTGTTAAGGTGCAAGCACTGCTTGCTTCCTCTAGCTTTCAGCTACCGCCGCTGGCTAGCCCTCATGGTGAAGCAGCCTTGCATAAGTCTTCCCCTGCCAGTACACAGCCTCTTCACCATCAAGACTCCTGCTGTGCCTCCTCGTGGCAACACGCAGAAACTGGGTGCCTCCCTGCCCCAGGCTAGACCAACAGGGGATCTCGGAGCATAAGTGGGCCCCAGAGGTACGGTGCACAGGCACACCGGTATGTGAGCACGCCGTGGCACCAACCTACCACTGCCCCGCTGCCTTGCGGATTAACCTTGGTAGGTAAAAGACTACGGGAGTAAACCCCGACCGATAAATCTGCGGTGGAGCCCCGCATCAGACAGACATGCTTACAGAGCTCCAGTAAGACTCCAACGGCGGTATAGGCGGAAGAGGTGACCACCATGGGAACCCAACGACTACATCGGTAGATAATGGATAATGGCAATGCAAGATGGACAGGTTACTAATGCGAAAACCAACAAACTAGGCTATTGGCAGTCCATTGCAACTCCCTCTCTCCCCAGTTGTTGCAGCTACGTGCACCACTAGATCAAGAAAAGTTAGAGGCAAGATGTGTGGTTGCAGCCAGAGCTTCTACCTCTCTGCACACACCCACACGGGGAGGGGGCTAGAAAAGGTGCCCTAAACATAGCCTTCCTAAACTCCCAACTTGACTGGGCAACCGCACCCAGTAAGGTCATCCTTATGCGATCGAAAACACAATCAAAACCAGAGATTCAAACAAAAACCAACTATACAACCTCTTATGGTCCCTGCATGGAATATCAGGACCCTTCTGGATACTGGCACAAATGAGCTTCCTCAGAGGAGAATTGCCCTTGTGTCAAAAGAGCGGGCTAGGTATAACATCGACATAGCAGCCATTTTAGTAAGTCCTGGCTCCCAGATGAGGGTCAACTCACAGAAGAGGGGTCTGGTTATACTTTCTTCTGGAAGGGTAAGCCTGCTGCGGAGAGAAACAACATTTATGGAATTGGCTTTGCCATCCACCAACACATCCTACACAGACTAATTGAAATGCCTATTGGGATCAACGAGCGCCTCATGAAGCTTCGAGTCCCACTGAATCACTTACGTCATGTGTTTTCCATCAGCGCATACGCCCCAACACTGGATGCAGAGGTTGACATCAAGGAGACCTTTTACGTCGACCTCGACAGAGTGCTAACCTTTATCCCCAGAGAAGACAAGGTTGTGCTTCTTGATGACTTCAATGCCAGAGTTGGCAGAGATGCTGACATCTGGCAGTGAATCATAGGGAGAAATGGACTTAGCAAATGTAATCTCAACAGCCTACTCCTCCTCAGCAAGTGCGATGCACACAACCTAACTATCACCAATACATTGTTTAGGCAGGCCGACAAGTTCAAGGGTTCCTGGCAGCACCCACGATCCAAACTTTGGCATCTAATTGACTTCATCATTGTCACAGAAAGAGATCGCAGAGATGTCATCACCCCTGCCATGCGCGCCTCCAGCCCCACCCATCTTCGACTCTCTCTCTCTCTCTCTCAAAAACATAATTATTAAGGAATATCAATAATTGGAGGTTGTTTCTAAAATTTTAATTCCATTAGCAATTAATAACGCAGAATTTTTCTCTAATTTAGGGAAAAACCTATTAACTTGGTCACTGGAAAATTGATTTAAGTTCGTGAAAGCTTCTGCGATATTGACAAGAATGAAAGTGTTGGGAATTACGGTTCGTCTTCAGGTGTGATCCAGGTAATACGAAACTTTTTTTTTTTAACATTAGGAGCGATACTAAACTCTCCGCCCCTCGACCACAACACCAGAGAGTAAACAAACATACTCGCGTTTAATTATGAGTTACAATGTTTCTGTTGGCCAGCAAACACAGGTGTAGCTAATCACTGGTTGTGTTCAGGTGAGTCATATGTTATTTAAGAATTATAACTCACAATAAGTACATGGAGAGTCTGTATAAGTGTAGGCAGTAAATTATGAGAGGCACGTAGAGGGAGGGTGAGTCTGCCTTTGACCTGTGGACCTGTCTGTGTATTCTCTGCCAGGGGACATGTTAAGCACGTGTTTTGGACTCGTTACGGTAGGGTTGTTAAGGTGGTACCAGAGTGCTAATCACATCACTCTTTTAACATTATTTTTAACACATTTTGTCTAGTTCAAAATAATTATATAAACTTAACATATATTTCATAATGTGTGAGAAAATTTTAAGTAAACAAAATGAAAATTTGTTATTAAAATTTATGGGTAAAAATTCTGTCTCGACGATACAGTACAGGATTTACACACCATGTTTTTAACTCATCTCTGGCTGAAGACGGTCTTGTAAACAATGGCTGTATTTTATGAACAAAGAACTGAATAAAAAAAAACAAGGGGGATAAGGTATACAAAAGCCCGGCTGGGGTTCGTCAGGTCAAGATCCTTCATTATAACAACAAAGTTTAGCCACACAAAGCTGCAGGACAACTACCATAATTCACAACACTTTTTTTTTCGTATAATTATTAGTGAGAATAATCCTATATAAATTTGCCTGTCTTTAAACACATCTAACGTAATTGAATTTTGACCGAGTACAATAAACAGATCACATGAAGATTAGACACCCCAGCTTATTTCACCTGATGATTTAAAACACCTTAATGTTTAACTTAATCTACACTCAGCTGATCGACTCTATTTTTTTTTAACACAACCCCTACCAGTGAATGGATTTAAACTTGTCTCGACAAAGAAGAGGTTGAAGGGACAGTTTAGCCGAGTTATCCTTGAAACTAATTCGTTGTATTACGTGTATATTATATGCAGACGCCTATAAACGACACACTGTAGCCGCGAGACGAGAGAACATACAGTACGTAGTGGAGCACACCTTTCCTGTATAAAAAATGGATCAAGCCAGAGATATTGTTGACTGATTGACTTTTTTTTTCCTTTTTGTCTTTCTTTCCACATTTTTCTTTATATTTTCTTCACTATTTCTTTCCGTATTGTGTCCAAATAACAGTTCTAATTTTAGAGTTTTCTGAAGACTGTGTTGTACAATAGTTATCTCCAAGACGCGGTACAAATGTCGTATTTTTTAATGAAAGTCCGGGAAGGCTAACGTGTTCGCTATTCCGTGCATCTTAAAACGGCTTACAAAAACGCCCTAAATTACTAATGATTTTTCCTTCAACAATTTTGATATTATTTTCGTAACCTGGCAGACATATTTAAAAACTCACAATACTCCGGTTAACAATTTATAAACTCATAAAGTAATTACCTTCGTATCCAGTAATGTGTACAGCAGTGCAAGTATTCCTTCCATTAAGACCACAACAACACCAAGTTAATAATCCGTCTTGAGGGAACGAGAGCTGATTAATCCCCGGGTGAAGGAAGAGCAAGAGAGCCGTGATGTGCACTGTCACAAGTTATCCCAAGTACTGACCTCTCTCTGCCTGCCAACGGCTATTTACACAAGACAGATGCCAATGTAACAACCATTAAGGATAGTTAAGGTTGTTTGCGTCTGTTTGTTTACGTTTAAAAGTGGGAGGAGCTGTCAAAAGCAACATTTAATTTCCACTTTACAATGTGGGTTGTGTGGTGATGTGTGGTGTTGTGTGGTGTTGTGTGGTGATGTGTGGTGCTGTGTAGTGTTGTGTGGAGCTGTGTAGTGTTGTGTTGTGTTGTGTTGTGTAGTGTTGTGTTGTGCTTTGGTGTTGCGTGTTGTGGTGCTGTGTAGTGCTGTATGGTGCTGTGTAGTGTTGTGTGGTGCTGTGTGGTGCTGTGTGGTGTTGTATTGTGTGTTGTTGTATGGTGCTGTATGTATGGTGCTGTGTGGTGTTGTATGGTGCTGTGTAGTGGTGTGTGGTGCTGTATGGTGCTTTGTTGTGTTGTGTAATGTTGTGTGGTGTTGTGTGGTGCGGTGGTGTTGTGTGTTCTTGTGTGGTGCTGTATGGTGCTGTGTAGTGTTGTGTGGTGCTGTATGGTGCTGTGTATTGTGTTGTGTGGTGCTGTGGTGTTGTGTGTTCTTGTGTGGTGCTGTATGATGATGTGTGAGTGTGTATGGTGCTGTGTATTGTGTTGTGTGGTGCTGTGGTGTTGCGTGTTGTTGTGTGGTGCTGTATGGTGCTGTGTGGTGTTGTGTGGTGCTGTGTAGTGTTGTATGGTGCTGTGTAGTGTTGTGTGGTGCTGTATGGTGCTGTGTATTGTGTTGTGTGGTGCTGTGGTGTTGTGTGATATTCTGTGGTGTTCAGGATAGATTTTACGAATTCGATCATTAGTATTTTCTCTCGTTACTACCTTTACTTTTATCCTAATTCTAAGCTAACCTAAGCTAACCTAACCTAAGCTAACCTAACCTAAGCTAACCTAACTTAACCTAACCGCAGTAACAACCATAGTCTTAAGGGAATATTGAACCATACAAGGGAAGGAAGTACAACATAAGTGTAGCATCATTTTATTCTTCTCTGACTCACATAAACTATACAAATATAATTATATACAATCAATGTACAATAATACACATATATATATACACATACAGGAGCAAACACCCTTTCCATTATACGCCGCTCTGGGCCCTCAAGGTTGTTAGTCAGGCCCAGGGTTCGAATCTTGGTACCGAGAGGTGGATTTACCTGTGTACATTATTGTTGTTTGTACCTGTGAGACAACATGCTTACCGGACGATCCAGATCAGTCTTACAAAATTTATGTTGGATTGGACAAAATTTATGTTGGATTGGACAAAATTTATGTTGGATTGGACAAAAAGACGTATACTGTACTTCATCTTTGGTTTGATATAGCTACCCTGACCTAACCACAGATAACATAATGGTGTACTGGACTAGTTTGGTTAGGTTCAAGATAACATTACTTCCTTTAGTACATAAAAGAAGTACATTTCCCCCATGGTAGTTTCATTTTAGGGGTGACTGATGCAATATTTTTTTTTTTAGTATTGTAACATTTAAAAATAATTATAAACAAAAATATATTGAACACCATTTACATCAACATATGATAATAATACCAGCGGCAGTGTTGGTATTAGAGGGTTAACTAGATGCTAAATGTTGAGTGTATGTATGTTTGTAATATCAAAATATTGAGTTACAAGTTTATTCACAACGAACATCAACTAAAAAAAAAAAGACACCACTGCAAATAAAAATTAATAATCCAATCAAGTTTCACGAATAATAATAATAATAATAATAATAATGACAATAATAATAAAAATAAAAATAATGACTATAATAATAATAATAATAATAATTCTAGTATATACATGGGCCTTTGCACCAGTTTGTTCCTAACGTAGGATACAAACATCGTACCAGAAATATCACAACAATATCCTGCAACACACAGGAAGGAGAATACAAAAACTCACTTATCAACCCTAGGAAGCTTGTCTTTAACACATCAAAAGAACATTAACGGTGAGGGAAAAATAGCGACATTGTTCCTTCTACCATAGCTAAGAGGTCTGTCACCCCGAGCTGTTTAGTGACGAGAATAAACCTTAACTGCACTACCGTCAAGGGATAGAGGGTCGCTGTTTTTCACTCTTTCTCTGTGTTAAATAGCAGAAAGAGGAGGAGGGCACGAGGGACACGATATGGGAGGGGGAAGTGTTAGCCAAGAAGCTGCACTGTACAAATGTGACCAGAACTTACAACATACAAAAGCTAAATGACTAGTGAACAGTTTCGAGAGATGTAATAATGGTGAAGTACACAACCTGTTATGTATGTATGTATGTAGTGTACGTCTAATATTACATTTCTAAGTGTACGTGAAAATACAAAATTATGACTATGAACACACATGGTTGAGTGGCAATGCTCTCGCTGGAAGGTTTAAAAAGAGAGGACTTTTCAAAACTATTTTGTCAATTTTTTTTTATACTTAATTTTATTCCGGAATCATTGACATATATTTCCGAGTTAAAGTTTGAGAGTTCTTAGTAATATTTTCTGTGTATATATCAAAAAGTAATCTTCCCTTCTGCCCACCACTGATAAATTCTACTCCTATTAAAAAAAAAAGTAACATTTATCTTATATGTAAAAGTTTTCGTGTAAATTCATTCTTAAATCAACACCAAGTTATTCCCCAACAACACAAATATAAAAGTAAGTCTTAGTATTGTTGTTCACCTGACGTCACCATTGTTTGTATGTGATATAAACGGGCGGCTGCCTGTCTTGGTATTTCCTCGTCGATTAAACAAAATATTCCAATAAACTTTTGCAGTACACATACAAAAAAAATTAGGAACTTAGTATCAGAGTTTGTAATTTTTTCATTAATATTGACTTTTATATTAAAAAAAACTAATGCAAAACACGAGATCCTATCATTTAATTAAAATATTATCAATAATTTAAGTGGTTGAAATTTACAGGTGATGGTAACGGGAGACACCAAGTACCGCTGTCGCTGCCTCTGAGCTGAACGTCCTCTTGGCTGGCTGGTGCTGTGGGTTCCCGGGGGAGTGAGAGCATGACGTTTTCTACCAGCCTTGTGTTCCGTTTCGTTATGGTGTGAATTTTACTGTTTTTTGGCCATTAGTCAGAGAATTTAAAGAGTTTGAGCATTTTGTTATACAGTGTTTGTTGGGGGGGATTTTTGACGAATTTTCTATACAGTTAGAGAGTAAATCTATTTATCCTGGTTTCTCTTATTCTGTATCGCTAAACTTACTGTCCAACTGATGTCTTGATTCAGGTTCTTTAAGTTTCATAACAATTGCACTTTTTCACTTTAAGTCTGTTCTTTGCCCTTTCTTGACTTTTAAAATTTATCACAATTCAATTTCCATTTTTTCTACGTGCATATCTGGTTTTTTACGTATACCTGTAAGAACACCTGAAGAACTTGTCAATAATTAGCATGACACGACATTAATGACTTGTTTCAACACTGTGAATGGGATCGTGTATTTTTTTTCTGTTTAAAGGTTTCAATCCCATAAATATGGATATCACGTCTGTGTTATACTGTATTACGAACTTGAGTTTTTCCTGATTCTTTTAATTCCACCTTTCTTTACCTATCAGCTGCGTCACATATAAACACAACCATGGTCCGTTTTACTTCTCTCTCTTCTTAACTTCCAGAATATTATCTTTACTCTTCTTCTTCCCATCTTCATTCCTTCCTTCTCTCTTCTTGCCTTCTTCACCTTTTCCATCCCTCTTCTTCCCATCTTCATTCTTCGCATCCTTCTTCTTCGTCTTGGACTTCTTAGCACCAGTGGAGTTAGCTGACGCACCTCCTCCTCCTCCACCACCACCACCGGCCTCCATGTATCAGATAAAACTGTTGAGCTGTTGATGGAAGGCGGCGAGGTAGTCAAGGATAAGCTTAGCGTGTGGTCGGTCGTGAGGATGGATGGCCCAGCAGAACGCCATCACTTTATACAGGTCGTCGGGGCAATTCAAGGGCTGAGCCAGTCTGTAGCCGTCCCTCAAGTACTCCCCCATCTCACACGCCGCCACCTCCACGTAGGGCTGCTGCGCTAAGGTCGTTAACTCCCACAGGAGGACGCCGTAGGACCACTGCAAGAAGGAGAAATGGTAGTGAAGTTAAGTACTACAAGGGAAGTGGATGGTAGTGTCGTATGTGTGTGTGTGTTACGTATGTGTGTGTGTTACGTATGTGTGTGTGTTACGTATGTGTGTATGTATTATTTACCCGGTGATACATAATCCTCCTTGACTTACAACAAGAGATGCTACTCTGTTTTTCCTCCCCAGAAAATAGTGTTCGTGTCACTTCATCACCTTCTGGTAATGTCCCAACCCTGACCACAAGTACCGAAGCCAGACTTGACTTATTGGGCCTCCCTGCTACATATTGTCATCAAACCCTCACTCTCTGAACACTCTTACCAGACCCTCTTCCCACACTCACAATGTTACCAAACCCTCTTCCCACACTCACAATGTTACCAGACCCTCTTCCCACACTCACAATGTTACCAGACCCTCTTCTCACACTCACAATGTTACCAGACCCTCTTCTCACACTCACAATGTTACCAGACTCTCTTCCCACACTCACAATGTTACCAGACCCTCCTCTCTGACCCACTAGACTCACCACGTCACTGGCGGTGGACACAACTCTGTCGGTGATCGCCTCGTAAGACAACCACTTGATGGGTCTGGCCAACTCGGCTCCGACAGACTCATAATCTGTCGGGAAGAGGTCTCGGGAAAGCGCTGCGTCCGTAATGCGTAGCTGCAGCTTCTCGCTCACCCTGTCGGGAGGAGAGAGGAGGGAATAAGACCAGAACATAATAATTTAGAGGAATATAAAATTTACTTACGATTTGGGGAATTAACACTTAATGACCCTATCTCATTATTATTACGTTGTATTTTGTGGTTAATTTACAGAATCCTGGATCAAATTAGGTAAAGAAAAGAAAATAGTTCAATGAAGGGTTGAGAGGTAAATAACTAGGGTTTGTCGATTAATTCTATATTACGGGGCATATTATACAACATTTATAGGGTTTTAGGGGTATAATTAGAGTCTGGGATAAATTAGATTATTGTTTTGAGTAAATTATAGGAATATGTCATGAAGAAGAAGAAACAACAGTAAGGACCAACATAACACAAGACCATCAGTTTACTCACACACAGTTCCTGGCAGCGAGGTCACCGTGCAGGACGTTAGCGGTGTGGAGGAAGGAGAGACCGTGGGCTGCCTGTACCGCCAGTTCCACCAACTCTGCCGCCCTCAGGTGCCCGCCTCGGTGTTCTTGCAGGTACCTGGCGAAGGGAGGAACCAACCCGAGTAAGGACATGAGTTTGTGATGCGTCTTTAGCCTGTAGGTTGTGTGTTAGATTAAGTAAGGTTAGGTTAAGTTAATTTAGGTGAAGATGGAAGGTTAGGTTTGGTTGCAAGATTAGGTTTGTTAGGTTAGGTTGCAAGGTTAGGCTAGATTAGGTTAGGTTAAGTTGAGCTTGGTTAGATTAGGTTAAATTGAGCTAGGTAACATTAGGTTAAATTACATTACCATTGTTTAATGCCATCTTCCTTATCGTTATATAACTATAAAATGCTAGACTTTATTTTTCTAGTGTTATTTAATATTGTTTCAAAATACTGGTATTCTTGTTTGTAATTTTTCATATATATATATAATTTTTGAGGTGGGAGGGGCTTATTTTCAGTGATATAAGTTTTACGTAAATTTACAGTAAATAATTTTTTCGGGTCAGTTTTGTGGGTTAATTATGCACCAGACGATTAAATTACCAGTTTGTTACGAGAGAAAGACATTACATTAATAAACACAGTAATTAAATACTCGCTAGTCACTTGTTTTTTAATACTACTGTTGGTAGTCCTTCTACCACTTTCTCTACTATTACTGCAGGTCACATGGGCCCCAGTCCTAATAGGCCCCAAGTTAGAACTAGGATTATCCCCTTCTTCCCCTATCGAATTAGGACTACTACTACTGCTTTTTTATTAATGTGGCCTCCATAGCTGAGTTAGTTAAGCCGCAGATCTATGCCCAGTGACTATTGCCTCATAATTAATATCTGCGACTATTACTACTTCAACTACTACCATCACCACTACTACTAAAGTGTTCCCCAAATACTCACTGTTTAAGATTGTGGTACCCATGGAAGGGGTAGATGAGGAACGGTGAGGAGTTATCAGCGAAGGATATGCCGACCATGGTGAGGACATTCCTGTGATAGAGATTGAAGAGGTGAGTTCCTTCCCGGTAGAGGGCGACCACTTCATCGTGTGGGGCGCCCTCCGTCACCGTCTTGATAAGCACCTGTTGGTCTTGTTCCGGCCGGTCACGCTGGATCCATCCACGGAACACCCGCCCGAAGGAGCCCTCGTGAGCTACGGCGGTAAGACGCACCCGCTGACGCTCCACCTGCCGAAGACGCAGAAGTAGGTGGTGAAGGAGATGAGGTATGAAGTAGTGAAGGTTGAGTGGGATGTTATGATGATGTAGAAGGGAAGTGAGATAAATGAGGACTTAACCATCGTCTTCAAGAGCCAAAACCTTCGTCCTTAGGGAATTAAATCATCATAATAATGCTAAGGAAATGCAACAGCGGATGATAGAATCCTTCCCACCACCAAGTCTCGTGATGCAAAAAGTTTACATTTGAAAGTTGGGGATTTTTTTTATTTTGGGGGAGAAATCTTGAAAACTTTGCCCTATACAGCTTTCATGAACTCCCTGTGAAAATATCTCCTCCCTGACTATCTCATAAATGTCATGAAGTTTACAAATGATGGCCAGGGAGAGAAACGAGAGAATTTTAACAAGACAGATCGACTTAATTTTAACCCTGAGGCAAGAGTTGGATTCCTTATAAGTAATGTGTAACTTCAAGAGGTAAAAAAATCTAAATGAAATTGTATTCTTTTGCTAATTTGTTTAGGTAATTATTCTCGTTTCATATTGTAATCTCTTCGTAAAGTTAAGAGTGCCAGGGAGGGAGGAAGGAGGAGGGAGGGGAGAGGGTGGGGAGAGGGGGGGGAGAGGAGGGGGAGGGGAGAGAGAGAGGAGGGGGAGAAGGGGAGGCGGAAGGGGGACAGAGCCACAAAGCCACCATAAATCTTATAATAACTTCTGAGTCTTCTTAAAACTCCGAGACTTTCCTGTGAGAGACAAAACACCTCACCTCCATTTGCCTAAACCTTTCTTGGAGCTCAGCGGCCGAGGGGTCGACAATCACCTCCGAGCGACTGAGTGAACTTGACGACTGGCATGTGTCTCTGCTGCCGCTGTCTCTGCTTAAATCACACACCTCCCTGCTGCCGCTCTCTCTGCTACAGGGTGTGAGGGAGGCCGTTGTGGATACATGGTTGTGGGCGTGGGCGGGAGTCAGAGGCGTGAGGGGTGTGATGGGGGTAGTAAGCTTCCGAAGAGAGGCGTAGGAGTTGATGGTGACGGAGGATGGTAAGGTGTAGGTGTTGTTGTTAGGTGTGGCGGCCCTCAGTAGCGTCGAGTTGGTCATGGGTCGAGCCTTCACTCCCAGGTCGTTAATGCTGCCAGATAAAGAGATAATTTAGTACTTGTTCTGGGCCAAAATGTAAGGTAGGGTGCACAATAAACTAGCCGCTAGATATAGAGTAAGTGATGGTGTGGCTCACTAATGGTTCCTCTGCCGTGTTTATTCAGCTCACTTGGTTATTTGTGTTTACATTCCAAACGGTAAACTCCGCCGCAGTTATGAACTTAACACAGATTAAACTTTCCCGGTGTTGTAAGCTAAAATTAACTCATCCTAACTCAGCCTAACCTAACGTAACCCAACCTAAACTAACGAAACTTAACCTCATCTAAGCTAACCTAAATTAAATTAACCTAACTTAACCTAACTAAACCTAACCTAAGACCAGAGATGTTTACTGTGTTGTGAGAGTGTCGACCTACCCGAGGATCCTGGGGTCTCTGTCCCTCTTGAGCCTCCTCCTCCTGATGTAGGCGACGATGATGATGATGGTGACGACGAGGGTGAGTCCCGCCAGGGCCGGCACCACGTAGTACACAACAGGCAGGGCGTCCCCTCTCTCACCCAGCGGGCCCAGGTGTGGCGCGTACATCTCAGCTGACTGACCTAGTGCACAGGTAAGGGGAGATCACTCATGTGTTATTCATTCTTTAACCATTTAGGGAGTTAGGTAGAATAAATCCCTAAGGGCTACTTTGCTCTCTAAAGGATTCATGTAACTATTTCTTATATCAATTAATACAAATACTGTATATACATTAGTTCTGACTGAAATATACACGGGCAGAATAAAAGGCCGGCGACTGACTGCTGGTGTAACAAGTTCTGTATGATGGTTTACCTTCAAAACAGATCTTGCGACGCTTGAAGTACAGGACGGTGGGAGGCTGTCGAGGTCTGGGTGACGTCACGTTGATGTTGAAGATAACGTCCACCTCGGCGCTGGCCAGACCCGTGCAGGGCAAGTCCAGCCTGAAGGTGGCGGGCGCTGTGGGCACGGTGCCCGTCAGCGACACGTTGACTGATGGCATGGCCAGCGGAGACGGCGATCCAACCACCTCTGTCTCGTTCATCCAGATAGCCATATTGTACAGCACCTGCACGGGGGAGGAGGAGGAGACGCGGTTGGTCATCACAGAGGAAACTGATGGACACCAGTGTTACATAAGGTACGCAAATTAAGTACTATTTACAGGAGCCAAGATGACAAAGGAAAAAATATACATATCAAAGGTAATTAAAGGTGTGTTTATATGTGTAACACCAACGAGAAATAAAGTCAGGTGAAAAGTGGGATTTTATAAAGCAGACACACACACACACACACACACACACACAGACACACACACACAGACACACACACACACACACACACACACACACACACACACACACACACAGACGCATCTGCTCAGCAGCAGCCACGTCAACTGTTATGTTGGCCCATACCAACTCCTCCCTGAACCTCCTCCCACCGGAATAACAAGTTCTCGCCAGAAGTTACTATTTCATTTGGGAAAGGAATGGAACCAGTGTTGAATAGTGGTGAACAGTGCTTAAGTCAGTGAAAAACAACTCGGCAGTTGAGTCTGAGCCAAGCTAACCTTCACACAGTGAGGCCGAGGTACCCAGTGATAATTCCCCTGAGACTCCACGATAGGGAGGCCTGGGACCACACCTCACCCACTTGAGTGAAGTCCTGTGACAACAGATCACGTGGTCTCCCATGATGCACGACACCACGTAATGAATGAGTTGCTACAGAATCATGTGAAGTCTCTCACACCATCTGTGAGGGAATTACTACACCACTGATGCCCTCGCATCCATCTGTAGAGGAATTACTACACCACGTGATGCCTCATACCATCACTGAGGGAATTACTACACCACATGATGCCCCTCATAAACCCATCTGTGAGGAACATACCACATCAGCCCTCATACACCATCTGTGAGGGAATTACTATTAGTCTCACATCAGGCCCTCATAACACCATCTGTAGGAATTACTACACCAGTGATGCCCTCATAACACCATCTGTGAGGGAATTACTACACCACATGAGGCCCCCATACACCATCTGTGAGATGCCCCTCATAACACCATCTGTGAGGGAAGTACTACGCCATGTGATGCCCCTCATAACACCATCTGTGAGGGATTTACTACACCACATCAGGCCCCTCATACACCATCTGTGAGGGAATTACTACACCACATCAGGCCCCTCATAACACCATCTGTGAGGGAATTACTACACCACATCAGGCCCCTCATAACACCATCTGTGAGGGAATTACTACACCACATCAGGCCCCTCATAACACCATCTGTGAGGGAAATACTACACCACATCAGGCCCCTCAACACCATCTGTGAGGGAATTACTACATCATCAGGCCCCTCATACACCATCTGTGAGGGAACTACTACATCATCAAGCCCCTCGTAACACCATCTGTGAGGGAGCCCCTCATAACACCACCTGTGAGGGAACCAGTACTCCACGTGATGCCCCTCATAACGCCATTTGTGAGGGAGTTACTACACTACGTGTCTGCTGTTCAACACCTCAGCTTACATGATCTACGTGTGTAAACATTAATCTGTATGTTCACTGTATATGTTCCTTCACCTTTCTCTAATTAAGGCTTTTGTTAAACCACCAATGTATGTAATAAGTCATTTATGTCCAATGTATATTTTCAGCCTTCGGGCTGCAAACTTTTTCAATAAACCGTTAATTATTATTATTATTATTATTATTATTACACACACACACACACACACACACACACACACACACACACACACACACACACACACACACAGACACACACACACACAGACAAACACACACACACACACACACACAATAGTCCTCAGGTGAGTAACAATTATTTGACAAGCGACGGCCGTTTATGCAAAATACACCGACAACCGGATAATACACGGCCGATTAAAGATATGAAATTGCGTCAATCTGAGCAGGTTTTGGTGGGGAAGAGAGGCTGATGTTGTGTAGTGTGGCTGGCTGCAAGGCGGGTACCCGTTAGTGTGAGATACGAGTCGGATATAGGTGGACGATAATGTGGATAGTGGTGTGGTGGTAGTGTGGTGGTGGTGGTAGTGGTGATAGTGGTAGCGGTGGTGGTGATAGTGATGGTGGTGAGGGTGGTAATATTGGTGGTGTGGTAGTAGTGGTGATGGTGGTGGTGTGGTAGTGGTGGTGTGATAGTGATGATGATGATAGTGGTAGTGATACTAGATGTTGGAGAAGTAGTAGTGGTGGTGACAGTAGTAGTAGTGGTGATAATAGTAGTAATACCATTTGATAGTGTTACTAATCCTATTCTCGATCTTGTTATCATCATATAATAATTTGTATCTTCTTTCTCTCACGTTAATAAATATAAAAAAATAAAATAAAATATGAAAATTATAAAAACAAACAATTTAAGAACGAAACAGATTAAAGCGGTAAAAACTCTCAATAGAATTATCAAGAAAAATTAAATAATTCTTCCTCCTTCCCTCCCTCTCTCTCCCTCCCTCCTTCCTTCTCTCTCTCCGTCCCTCATCCCCCGTCACGCCCTCACTAACCCATTATCACACTTTAAAACACTAAACCCACACACACACCTTATTTCCTTTTCTCTCTTGTTCCTCAATTTACCCTCATCATCCCCTGCTCTTTAATCTTCCCCCTTCCTCTTCTTTCTCTTACACTGTCCTCTTTCCTTTATTTTTATTCTGTTCTCCACCCTTCCCCTTATCTACCCCTTTCTTGCCCTTCCCTCTCCTCCCCTTTACCCTCTAACTTCCTCCTCCTCTCCTATACCCTAACCCCCTCCTTCCTCCTCTCCCTCTCACCGCCTCCCTCCCCCCTCCCCCGAGGCGACGTGTGACTGACAGCCGCGACTAACAGCCACTGTTGCATAATTAGCGTGTAATAACCAGACCTCCGCGTCATGCGTAAACTGCTCGTTAGGTCGTAAGGGTGAGGGAGGTGGTGGGGGAGGGAGGGATGAGGGAAGAGATAAGGGGTGGAGGAGAGGTAAGGAGGGAGGGGAGGGAGGGATGAGGGAAGAGATAAGGGGTGGAGAAGGCGGGGAAGGAGGGAGGAGGGGAGGGGAGGGAAAGGGAAGAAGGGAAGAGGGAAGGGCGGAGAGGAGGGAAGAGAGAGAGGAAGGTAAGAGGGGGAAGAGACGGATGGAAGGTAATGGTAGAGGGGAGAAAAGGTAGTGCGTGGAGGGAGGTAAGACGGGAGGAAGGGGGAGGGAGGGGCGGATGGGAGGGGGGCTGAAGGGAGGAAAGGGAAGAAGGTAATGCGTGGAGGGAGGGAGAAGGGAAGGAGGATGAAGGAAAAAGGAGAAGATGGGAGCTTTGAAATTTTATGATGAGAGAGAGAGAGAGAGAGAGAGAGGAGAGAGAGAGAGGATCAAACCTTGGTGTCGTGTATATAAAACCAACATCGCCTCTGACAGCTGAAGCCTGAGGAAGCGCTGGGGTGGGGTGGGGGGGTGGGGTGGGGGGGGCAGAGGTTGAAGGTGTGTCTGTACTCACCAATATTGGAAACCGATATATTCACTTTAGTGTTATGTGAAGGAGAAAAAAAATCCTTTATTTTTTACCAACTAATATATTTATTTTTAAGTCATCCTTGTCTCTTTTCATTTAATTTGTGTTTTATAGAATCAGAAGACATTATACAGGTAAGATGTAGTTAATTAGTTCATACACCTTGTTTTACACCTGAGTAAGAGAAAAAGGATATTTTTTTCCATATTCATTCCGTAAAAACAAATAAACTCAGTGCTTACAGGACCTAACCTAACCTAACCAAAGCTAATCTCACTTAACCAATGGGATTTAGGTCCTTTTGGGGTTAGGTTAGGTTAGGTTAGGTTTCGTTATAGTAAAAAAAAAAAAACTACGTCACCAGGTAGAGACAGACCCAGTGAGGAGGGTGGTGGGGCCGCCCTGAGGAGTGGAACATCATCGCCTCACCTGTTCATCATATATTGTCTAGTTTCTTATTACAGGTGAGGGAAGGAAGTGAGCGATTACCTGTGGTCGAGAGGTCGGGTCAGCCACGAGTGAACCCCACACACACACACACACACACGTACACACAGCCACATACACACACACACACACACACACACACACACACACACACACACACCATCAATGAAGACCCTAATATGTTAACTTTAGAGCATCATCGAACACACACATTATACACCAGGATAATTACCTCCCTGGGGGCTACAGGTGTTATTTTCATCATTAAGTACTACCTGTAATTACGGTCAGGTAGGTGGCCGGCGGGAGGCTGTCTCGTGCGGCTCACAGGTTAAATGAGCCAGTGGTAATAGCCTCTAAACGAGTCTAAAGTGAGTCTAAACGTTACTTACCCTAACTACTGGGATTGGGGGGGGACCGGTCCTAATATGTTCCATCCCTAAAAGCTATATTAGGTTGGGGCCCATTAGTACTTGAGGGCCCATTAGAACTTGGGGGCCCATTAGAACTTGGGAGGCCATATGACCTCTAACCTCTGGTGAATCAGGGCATAAGAGGCTATTACGCTTATTATTTTATCCCAAAATACTCGAACTAGTGAATGTCTGTGTATGATAATTAGACAGACAGACAGACAGACACAGATAGATAGATAGATAGATAGATAGATAGATAGATAGATAGATAGATAGATGTTTTTGCAAGAGAGGTAAGACTTCAGAAGAGTTCCATCATCTTATTAATAAAATGACAACAAACTTACCATAAACAAAATTGTTAAGAATTCTTTGAAAAGTCGGTAAAAAAAAATGAACGAAAAAATATTAAGTTACGAAAGATAAGCAAAAACTAACGAAGTAAACATGAGTGTCCTTAACTTATACCACAACTTAAGCCGAGTTTTCATTTTCCTTCGACTTCTTTTTTTTTTGACACAGTTTTTTCCAGACTCCTCAAAGAAGTTCTCACTAGCTTATCTTACCGTAAGTTTGTTGTCAATTTATTAAGATACTGACATTGTGTGTGTGTGTGTGTGTGTGTGTGTGTGTGTGTGTGTGTGTGTGT